TACACGTACGTAAATATGAAACAAAGGCATCCTAACATCTCAATTTAAGGTCAGACGATACGTTCCTCGAATATCTGTTATGTATATCTTCGTAATGTATGAAAAATATTCAAAATTTTAAATACCTTATGATTTCTAAACCAGTTTCTAATCGTCTTTAAAAAATCCCCAAACACCAAAAAAAATTGATATTGGCAATTTAAAATTTTTTCCAAAATGATTATATAAGAAAAACTACCCTCTGGTATCTTGCACAAATGCCTGGTAAGGTACCTCAATATTTTGTGAGTAAACATGTTAAAGGAGCAATACCTCAATGTTTAGATCTTGGAAAAAATTATATATTATTTAGGAACTTATCGTCTGTTCTTAAGGAAAATATACTAGACATATGAGTTATCAAGCTGTATTAAACACTTTTTTCAGTTATTTTTTATCATTCGGAAAAAATATAAAGAATCCGAAAGTGGATCTACTTTGCAAAAAAACTATTTCTACAAAAAGGAAGGCACAGAAAACCGAAGAAACACTGTATACTGTCACAAGGTTTAACCCATATATAAAAAAAATGAAGGAAAGGAATTCTGAAATATTGTAATTACATTTAACATGATTAAGTACGTGAAGACTTTTCACACCCCCTTCTATGGTTACTCAGGGTAAACACAAAAACAAAAGTGATCTGTTCATTGGTTAAAAATCAAAATCAAATGAAATTCAAGATATTAATTGATGTGTGTGCATAAGGAGGACCTCTATTGAGGCGGGTTTTACCAAAATACATGTGCTAATAATACCGAAACACTTTTGATTGATTGCACGGTGTAATCTGTAAGTTGTTGAAAAAAAGCTTTATTTAGAATGATTGGTTGATTGTATGGTGTTTTACGGGACATTGAAAATTTTTCACACATATAGAGACGGTGAAGAGCTTCAAATTAACATCTATACTAGGCACTCGGGGTCATCGAATAGTGAGGGGTCTTTATCGTTTCAACGCCTACGGTGACACAGGACCTCGGTTTTCAAGGTCTCATTCGAAAGACTTTCAATTCTAGTGCCGGGCGCTTGGTGAAGGAACAGTCACTTCCTATTTTTAAGTCTATAATTTCTTGAGGTTAGATTCAGCGAACGAGAATCAAATCTCGGCCTCCCAATAACAAAGTGAGGGCCCTACCGCTAGGCTACCGTGACCAGTTGCTTCGTTATGAGTGTAAGTTTAAGACATATCTTGTTGTTAGGATGCGGGTGTTTTACAACAAGCTCATTTTTTTTTATTTTCCTGCACTCGAACGCCTTCACTTATGATTGCTTTTTCTTCCTGTCCAAGTTGATTATTTTGTGATTTATTGTTTGCGGGGTATCAAAAGTCAAGTGCAAAAAAATGGAGGAATGCAAATAAAAATTTCAACTGAATGCTTTGTTCACGTCAAATAATTACAACGACAAAATCTTTTTTATTTACTGCTAGGGATGTTATCATACATGTAAAATGAAATGTATGGAGAAAACGAATAGTACTCAAGCTCAAAAGTCCATTCAACAATACAAATTTTGGAGCAGAGCAAACACGGACCTCTAAAACATCAGAGGTGGGATCAGGTGCCATGGAGGAGTGAGTATCCCCAGCCGACCGGTCACTCCCGCCGTGTGCTCCTTGTCATGATCGGGTAATAACGGAAAAATCCGTTGACAATTCAGTGTGCACATAATGGCCTAACAATTAGTATGAAAAACATCAGTCAGCATTTGACTTAATGGAAAATTGTAGTTGCTGACAAGGTCATCGTATCGACCATAGAACTTACGGAATGACGACTTTAAACAAGACTTCTGATATTCTTGTTTCACCAACTTGATTGTCAATAATCTATCTCGCTTCAGAAATTGTTCATATGTAGAGCATGCTTTTGAGTATCGAATCAACTGAGAGTATAAACCCCGTATGCAGGTGATGAGAATATATTGCTGCTTAAGTAGGGAAGTTAACGATTGAAAAAAGTTAAAGTCATCACGTTTATCATAAAGCTTGGTTGTTAGATTACCATTAACGTCTTTTTCTAGTAAAATATCCAAATATGAAACAGATGTGTCAAATTCTGTGGTATCTTTTATTTCAAGCTCACTGGGGTATATCGTATCAAAACACGATTGGAAATAACCATTGTTAATTGACAATACGTCGTCGATATATCTAAATGTCGAGTTGAAGGCCACAAGTGTTTTCTTCTTTCATTTTCACGTACAAGATTTTGAACAAATTCTGCTTCATATGAATACAAAAATAGGTCTGCTTATAACGGGGCGCAATTGGTACCCATGTGAATTCCAATGGATTGTTGGAAGACCTTGTCTCCAAAAACACATAGATATTGTCAATCAGAAACTCAAGCATCTTTTTGATATCAACTTCACAGTACTTGTGTGTACAATCAGAATGTTTTTAACAAAATAATTTTGCAAATGACCAATGACAAGGTGAGTAATTTTACGACTTCCATTTTTATTGAAAATGCAGCTGTCAATAATCAAAAAGCCAGGACTTTAATTTAGATAAAGTACATTATACTTTTTTCAGGAAAGGAGTAACTTTCAATATTTTCTATAAATACAACTCAAAAGAAATGAGCATGTACAAAAAACAAAATTGTATCCAATAAGAATTTTCTTTTAGACAGGCTGATATCATCCTTCGTAGAAAACGTCTTGGTTGATTAATTCTATATAGAAGCAATCTCAAACTTTGAGCTTCATAAGTTACTTTGCATTAGCTTTTGCCTCGTTGTGATTTGTGCCAAAGACATAGGTGTTACAATTAATTTGGAGGATAAAGTACAACATGAAGCAGTTCTTCAAACATTAGTAAAGATATGACAAAAATACTAAGCATATGATATTATAAAGCTCATTAAATAAAAATTTCCTATAGACAGTAGTGAATTTATTTAATTTTTAAGAAATTATGTACATATTTATTAGTGCCATAAAAATACAAACCGGTCAGAAATGTATACTGTTTTTTTTTTTTTATCGAATATATGCTTGAAAGCGAAGAATAACCATTACCTTCTTTAAGATAACAAATTCAAAAACATCAAAACTTCTACCTCTTAACTAAACTTAATTAACCATAAAGCTAATATATAGATTTTCGTTTGGAAAATACGAAAATGAAAAGTTTCTGCTTTCGACAGAAATACCAAAATTGGAAGAAAAGATATGGAAAATATTTTGCTTCAGTTATATTTTCATTAGCTTAAATAGAATACTTCTATGGTATTTGTTTTCGGAATAACACATACTGTGGGGTTTTATGCATGTATTTGAGTGATTACACAATATTTTGCATGGACAATGAGAGAAAAATAATCATAAATAAGTTTACATCTATTTCTCGTAATATAAAAGCTAATAATTCAAGAAATAAGGTTTATGATAGCAAAATCAAGTTAGTTGTTCATTCATTATTCTTTTCACAGACATCTGTCTTAATAATGATTTCATTAATTTGTTTTCTAAGTCAGCTGAGTACTCAATATGTTTTTACTGTTTACTCTAATTAGATGGGACGATATGGTTCATGTAGGATCTCTTATTCTAATTGAATGATTAAAGCAAAATTAATCAAAACGGCGAAGCCTATCCATTAATAGGTATCAGACGGCACAATCATCAATCCCATGGGTTATGACCTTAATGATATTATTGTTATGAACTTTTAAAATCAAAATCTTTGAGACAGGACTTCATACCATAAGTACTGAGTTTGTTAAAGTATGAGCCAATAAATGATTTAAGTAGACTTTCGTGCAGAAATGAAGGTAGCTGTCATACTTGGTGGTAATAAAATAGATCTGCATTATATGTTGCAGAGGAGGGGCCGGGGTTGGGTTAGTTAAATCTTAATGTATAGTAAATCATAAATTTTAACTTCCAGAATTTCATTTGACAATAATTGTTTTACTACCCTTTTTCCGTTCTTTCACAGCAAAGTATATTTCTGATTTAAATAATTAACACTTTTAACACTTTTTTATGAAGATCTACCACATTTTCTTCATAGTTCTGGATCAACGAATAATCAGTCGTTCCCTATGCCGTCTAGTGGGAAACGATACCTTACCTACTTCAGGCAAACATCGGGTCTGTTAGTGAGGTGAGCATCTATTTCTGAGGCAACGTTTCATAAAGATACTGTGAGTCAGTTTTTAAGCTCGTGCCAGAAATATCCTAGAATATCACGACTATCACGTTTTTAATAAAGTAAATAAAAAAAATTACTATAGACTTCATATTGTTATATTTTAGGTTCTCCGATTCATACATGCACATATTCTATATAAAATGGAACTATTACTTGTCTATTCACATATTATATCAAAATTATACATCGCTGTTATCGAATTTGAGAGAGTTTTAGTATTGAAATCACAAAAAAATTCTAGAGTAAAGTTTCATAGTATTTACTAAGATTAACTATAGTAAATTTTTGTTAGGCTTGGTCGCAAATATTGAAAAGTCTCAGATGAGTTTTAAATCAATGAATCTCAAATAAAAGTTACAAAGAATAATAGGCTTTCATATCATTGGTTAGGTAGCCCGGTGATATAACGCTTCGACTTCACGTGTTCTCTTTCATCGATAAAAAGCAAGAACACGGATTAGGTGATATTCTCAGTCAGGCTCTCTTTGCAACAGGTAAGTTGTTCTTTCTAAATCAATATATATTTTTTGTGGTCTTTTTTAATTAATTTACTTTAGATTATTTGAGGCTACACTTATGGTAAGGAAAATTATTAAGAAGCAAGTGCGACACTAGGTAAATTATTATTACTTACTATGCACACAGGTATAATTTTTTCTAAAGTATCCAATTATATCTATCTTTTTAGTTCTTAATTTTAGAATAAAAAGATAACAAATCCTATTTTTTAGATATGTGTTTAACATTTATAGACCATGTCTTATTTTATTTAGATGTAATATGATACTTATTTCAGATGGATGAGATGAATCATCTTCTAATTCTGAATGCTTCCACTTATCCAAATGGTCATTACAAAATGTTTTTGGGTAAACCGCTTCCGAATGAATCCTCACTGATACAAGAACACGTGGAAGCTGAAGACTCTTTCGTTTACAGCATAAAAACCATGAGAAATATCTGTATCCCTCTTATAGTCATTGTCGGAGTTTTCGGAAATTTTGTATCGATGTTGATTTTTGCATCAAACTCGCTGCGAAAATCTTCGTCTTCAACATTTCTATTTGCTCTGGCCTGTGTGGATAATATTTTCCTGGGATGCTTATTCCTCACTTGGTTTGACGGAGCCATGAAAAATGTTTTGTCTTCGGTAGGAATTTGCCAAATCATTGCATACCTAACGTATATATCTAGCTTTCTCTCTGTCTGGTTCGTCGTGGGATTTACACTTGAACGCTACGTAGCAATTTGTCATCCTTTGCATGCTAAATTATTCTGTACCCAGGTCCGTGAGCGAATAACTGTTCTCACACTTCTTGTGATATCATTGCTTCTTTACAATTTTTCGCTTTGGACTACAGACATCAAAGTGTTTGCTTCGAAAGGAATCGCTCGATGTACAATTGACACAAGATATGTAAATTTTTTGAATTTCTTCACATGGCTAGATACCTTTTTAACAATGATGATTCCGTTCATATTGATCTGTTACATGAACATTCGAGTAGCCTGGACGGCGGTAAAATTTCAAGAGAAACGAAAAGCATGCTTGTCCCCTAGGGATGCCAAAAGTGTCAAGCTTAGGACAATGCGTTCAAAGCAACAGATGCGAGTGACCAGGACATTGCTTCTTGTATCCACAACTTTCCTAGTTCTCAACCTACCAAGTCATGTATTTAAACTTTCAAGTTTAATATCTGCATCATTGTTTAATATCAGCATGACACAGCATCTGATACAGGAGATTTCTCAAATTCTCTACTACTTCAGTTTTAGTATGAACTTTTTTCTTTACGCATTTTATGGAAAACATTTCCAAAGATCATTAACATTTATGTACGAGTCACTTAAATGGAAAAGTGGGTGTAGCGACAGAATGGAATACCTAGAACGAACTGTTACCTTGAGAAGTTGGGTATGAATTTCACGTGGACTTATAGAGAATATTTACTATTTGTAATTGGCTAACACAAATGTTAATAATTGTGTTTTTGTTTAATCTCTATTTAATTTTACCCGTAATATTATGAAAGAAATTTTCAAAATGATCTTTGAACTTTTTTGAATTCATTCATTACTATGTATATGTGTACAATTTTATATAAACAATATTTTTTTATTGCCGAGTTCTTTGCAACTTTAATCATGGACTTACTTGATTCCAGATGTAAGGGGTCTGTGATTGGATAGATTGGAAATTATCGAAAAAGTTAGGAATAGAGTATAGTCCTATAATAAAATCTATTGCACTTTTGCCATATCAAGTGTGCCAACACATCACAAAAATTGTGTTTGCCAATTAAAATTTCTTACAGCTGAAACGTAAAAGAGAATATAAAGTTTTTCCCCTCTTTTTGAAAGAAGGTAACAGTTTTAAATCAACAACCAATTGATTGATTGTATGTTGTTTATCAAGCCATTCAAGAATTTTTTACTGCGGAGAACTCACCTGTTTTTTAGGGGAGGTGCAATAAATTTTGACCTACGCATGACCATACGGCTACAGCTGTGGGGGATCTTTATCGTGTTCTACCGTGGCATGGGACCTCGGTTTTTAAAGTTTTATCCAAAAGACCCGTGACTTTTACTTCTAATGCCGGGTGCTTGGCGAAGGAACAGTCACTATCTTTCAGTCCTATGATTTGACACGGCGATGGGAATGAGAACCGAAATCGGACCTTCCGATCAAAAAGCGAGCGTCCCATCACTAGGCTTCCGCGCGCTATCCTATCTTCCTCATTCATCAGGGTAAAGGTAATGCTTGATTTTAAACATCACATGATACACGATCCGTTTCAAATTAAATGCCACTCTCTTTCTACTTAATCATTGAAGATAAGTATATGGTTTGTAAATGTTAAGAATTGATCTTCGGAGTCACTTCGACATATTCAGAAGAAATCATGCATTACATGAACATGTCAGTAAACGATATTTCATGAATATTTGATAAATGTGATATAATTGAAAGACCTCGAAATGACCACAAGTGACATACAAGAATGTGAACCTTGCTGAATGATCAGCATCCGTGTAAAAACGAATAATAACGACCATTTTTCTCATTTTTTTAATATCGACAAATGACCCCCAAGCTGTAGAAAAAAATGTAATTTCTCAATCTATAAAAAATTGTTCCACGTTGAAAAATGACCCAAACCCCTACGATTGGAAAGTTTAAAAGAGATGTTTGATGACAAGGTTTGGGTCTTAACGTTTAATACTTGTGCAAGTTCGATGAATATTGGACGATCACGCAATATAAATGTCATATAACGGCATTGCAGTACCAATCAGACCAAACCTGACAGAATGCAGACCCAGAGCAATCCCGGGGACTGCTCTCTGAGACTGCTAAAGCAGTCCCACAGCGGTCCCAGAGCAGTTCCGGGGACTGCTTGGGTGTCAGGTTGGGTCTGTTTGGTACTGTACATGTGTTTAGATCTATTATTCCTATTTTGATATAAATGTTTAGATATATTATTTCTATTTCTATATTTCACTGAAGAAAGACGCTTATGGCAAACTAACAAAACAATTATGATTAACTTAATGACTTCAGCTTTTCTATTGACAACTTTCCTTATTTATGCAGCAATACACCTTTATCATTTGCATATAGAGTTTATGTCTCCCAGTTGATTCAATACGAAAATATACTATACCCTGCATATCATTCTACGGGGGTCATGTTCTACATACAATGAGGCAAGCCTTTGACAAATAAGTTGATGATACAAGGATAAAAACATTCTTGTTTAAAGTCAACATTTTGCAAATTTTTCTCTGCTCCCATGTTATGTTCTAAGAGACTTTTGCGCTTTATTACTGTTCGTTACCTTCATATTTCACCTATAGCCTGCATATTGCGTTAAAGTCTCCAAACTTATTCGGTACCCTAGAGCATGCCCTGAGTACGATTTTAAACACAGGTAGGATGCTGACAAATTAGATGATGTAACAAAACTTCCAACAGTATCAATCAAAGTCAGCATTTCAAAAATTCTGTGGTCAATATACTGACCTTGTTACAAGATATATTTATGTTTACTATTTTTGAAAAATTTTGTGAGGTAATACATTTGGAAATTTTAGAATTTTAATATCTTTATCAGAACAAAAGTCCATAACTTTTATAAATACGGAATATAATATTATAGTATGGTGCCGTTGAAGCCCAGAGAAAATACATATTTGTTCGGACGAATTTGATATATGACAAATAAAATTATAGTTCTGACAAATTTGTTCTTCGTTCGGAATACACTTGGAAGAAAGTAAATTTTTTTTTTATTCGAACTGTTCGGAAGAACTAGATATTAGCTTGGAAAAATTATCGAGTTACATATTAGTTCGGACAGATTTAATGTTACTTCTTTATACAAGATTTATTATTCCTCTGATAAAAGAGATCATATAGAAAATCAAATTTAGTAAATGTATAAGCACATGGAATAACTGCACTTTGAGAACAAGATAGAGATATCTTCGTAATCTAGTTTTTTTTTTTTTTTTTATTGACTCCTTTGCCATTTCTGTGGTTTCTTGGAAGTTAAACTTGCAGATTGGGCTTATTTGCTTGCACCTCCACTTTTGTTTGCCATATATACAACGTATAGTTAATTTATGTTTGTTTTTCGGTTTTAATGAAAATGTTCCAAAAGTATCTAAAACGCCACGCAAGTTTTCTAGTTCAAATTGTTAGATTCCTTTGTTATATGTCCGAAAATTACATGTATTAACACTGTTAAAATCACTGACTTAAAATTACATCCACTCAAATGCAACTTGATTAACCGGTGGATAGAAATTATAAATCTCTCTCTCTCTCTCTCTTTCTCTCTCTCTCTCTTTATCTGGAATTTATATGGGAAATGGGTTTTTTTTTAATCTTGATAAAAACAATGATACATTTGTCAAATCAAAATGGAAGCATTTCCACATAGTGTTGATTGAAGTCAATTAATGTTGCCAATTTATCATAAAAGACAGATAATTTTATTCGCAAGAGTCAATGAGAGCAACGTATCTTCACGTAGGGTGTGCAGATTTTAAGGGTAATGCCACTTTGTCAACAGCCAAAATGATCATTCTTCGACGTCGAATAATGACCGAGGGTTGAAAAATGTCGCCAGTCATTATTCTACGGGGGTCATTATTCGTCTGTACACCTGATATAGATTTTTTTTCTTTCCTTACCGAATTTATTTCTAAATCTTGTCTGCTCAGATCTACAAATGTAACTTTACATGTGACTTTGATCAAAATTTACTCAAGTAATATTTTGATTAATTATACAATATGTTGTAATTATGATTCAATTAGGACATCAAGTTCATGCTTTGGTCTGATATCATTACCTTGTCAGGCTTGAAAATACAGAATATAACGACAAATCATTATCAAAATATATAAAATGCTCTGTGTGTTTACAAAGATCGACTACATGGGTTTAAATGGGAAAAAAAATGAACTAACGGTCGTCAACATTTCGGTGTAGCATTCTAGAGAGGTGTATGAAACAGTAATACTACTTTTCTACAAATTCGATCAGAGTGAGTGACAAATCGAGTCAGTGCTCGATCAAATCACCTTCATTGTTATTTACTGGTTCAAAGTTCACTGTTTTATTATCACACTTTAGATGAAATCGTTAACCCACATGTTAAATTAAATGCATTTACACATATAGATAATAGGTTGAATGCAATCATATAAACTTAAGAAATAACCGAAAATTGTATAGATAGTAAATAAATACATGTATATGGATCCTGTAATTAAAATATCTAATAGTAAAAATATCCAGGCATCAAATGTCACAGTTTTCATATCTTTATCATGTTGTAAATTTTGAATCAAATGAAAAATTAATATCATACTTTTAGAAAAATGCACCCATAAAATTTTGCTTTGACATTTTATTTCAGTGACAAATCAATGATATTATCTTTGATTAACTATAAGGAATATGGGTGTGAAGGAATATCTGTATGTCGTTCAGTTTTATGAATCATCCAATAAAAAGTCAACCTGGTGTCTCTAAAAGGGGATATCATAAGTATCAGTTAAGTACCATGCAAAAAGTTCTTTATCGGTTCTTATTCTTACCATATCTTTCAAGGTTATGGTGTCAATTATTAACTTTTTTTTTCTGATTGAACTTTCATACTTCTTCCCAAAAGTGCAATTAACTTGACAAAAAATAAATATAATATCTTTTTTAAAAAAATTGTTCTTTATAATTAATTGATTTGGTAATTTCAAATTTCACAAAATTTTAAAGTACACTTGAATAATCAAATCACTGTTCTCTAAATACGTTCTTCGACGAACCTTTTTTGGATTTGAATATATGAAAGGCTTCTTCAAAGTTATTTTTTCCTGAATTTATTAAAAGCCTTACTTTTTCTTTTTTTTTTTTTATCACATTCTTAGTTACTTCACCTATGCATATAATTATATAATCCAAGATTTGAAGATGATCACATTTCATTAGAACTTTAAAATCAAACATACTTAAAAAAATCATGACATAATGAAAGTAATCGCCCACTCACACTTTTAGCATTATGATAAACATAATGATGTAAGTATTCCACCATTCACAAGATATTAAATGTGCTTTACATAATTCCGTTAACGTTTTTTTTTAAATGTCCGTATGTATGATTTCCTGAAATGATTTTCAAAGAATATCAAAATGATAATTTTCTAGTTCACTATAACAGATAAATACTCGGTCATATTGACATCCACTAAATGTCTAAATGTGTGCACACTGTAGAATCCTTATTCCTCGCTAGTATTTTATATAGCGAAATGACTCTTTGACGTTAAATCGTGAGAACAATAATTCTCGAGTGGACGGTTGATCAGGAGATTTTATGCCATGAAATATTTGGAGATAACAAACAGTATTCGAGCTCAAAAGTTTATTAAACATTACAAAATAAGAGCAGAGCAATAACGCACCTATAAGACATCAGAGGTGGGATAGGTGCCATGGAGGAGTGAGTATCCCCTGCCGACCGGTTACACCCGCCGTGTGCTCCCTTTCATGATCGGGAAATAGTGGGAAAATCCGTCGACAATTCAGTGTGTAAATAATGGCCTAACAATTAGTATGAAAAAAGTCAGTCAGAATTTTTCTTAATGATAGATTGTATTTGCTGACAAGGTCATTAGAACTTACGAATTGATGACTTTAAATGAGGCTGCTGATATTCTTGTTTCATCATCTTCATTGTTTGTCAATAACTTACCTCGTTTTAGAAATTGTTCATACGTAGAGCATGATCTGGCGTATCGAATCAAGAGAGATATAAAACCCGTATGCAGGTGATAAGAGTATATTGCTGCATAAGTAAGGGAAGTTGACGATTGAAAAGTGAAAGTCATCACCTTTATCATAAAGCTTTGTTGATAGATTACCATTAACGTTTTTTTCTAATAAAATATCCAAATATGAAACAGATATGTCAGACTCTGTGGTATCTTTTACCCCAAGCTCACCAGGATATATCGCATCAACATAAGAATGGAAATAACCATTGTTAATTGAAAATACGTCGTCGATGTATCTAAATGTCGAGTTGAAGGCCACAGCAAGACTTAGTGTTTTCTTCTTCTTTTCACGTAAAAGATTTTGAACAAATTCTGCTTCATATGAATACAAAAATAGGTCTGCTAATAGCTGGGCGCAATTGGTACCCATGGGAGTTCCAATAGATTGTTGGAAGACCTGGTTTCCAAAAACCACACAGATATTGTCAATCAGAAACTCAAACATCTTTTTTAAGGTCAACTTCAGAGTACTTGTGTGTACAATCAGATTGTTTTTTAACAAAGTAATTTTGCAAATGACCAATGACAAGGAAAGTAAATTTACGAGTTCCATCATTATTGAAAAAGCAGCTGTCAACGATGTCAGAAAGTCTGGACTTTAATTTATCGTGGGGATTAGTTATACATAAAGTTGAAAAGTCTTAAGTGTTTTGTGTTGTTGATAATAGTAAAATTTTGTGATTTCAAATATTCCAAAAGTTCCTTGGAATTTTTTAGTATCTACATCTGATTTACACCACTTTTCGAATATATTGTTGCACAGTACTCTTGAAGTTTCTCCTTCACTACTGTTAATATCTTAGTGAGGAGTAAAGGAAGAGGCTTGGTAGAACCTTTACTGGAACCCGCTATGTATCTTTGTTTGTAAGGATATTTATGAAGTTTTGGAATCCAATGTAGATATGGTAATTCAAATTTTGGTTGATGAGAATATTAAAAATATTCAAAACTGACATATGACATAAAAATAAAAACAAGTAAATTTATTTCAGGAGTGGTTCTTCTTGCGATATTGCGCGATAATTAATAGGAATATACAGTATGTGTCACAAGGATACTTTGTAATCTTTTTCTTTCAAAAACTCCTCTTATTTCAAACAACTTTTATACCACTTTCTTTTTTATCATAATATTTGGTGTGTATGGAAAAGTCTTAGCTATTTCTTTATCAGTATGAAACTTTCTCTCTTCTTAAATCAAAATAAATAACATTTTATTGAACACTAATTTACATTTTTAAACAATCTCTTACAAATAAACACACCCACACCCACACCCACCCCCAGCGGTATACTTTTGTGGTACCATACCTGCAAAATGTAAAATCAATAACTTTCACTATATCTTTAACCAGTTGACCACGTTTTCGGGAAACACATATTGTCATTTTAGCTTAGTCTTCAAAATACAGTTTTCTCTGGAAGTCTTTTGAACTCTCCATAACATTTAAAACTAATGGAATATGGCTTTTGAGTCAGCCACTTTTTCCTTTTCATCGGCCATAGTAAAAATTTGAGTTCCTCAGTCGTGTCGGGTTGCAAAATTTTGAAAAACTTTGCATGAATATTAAGATAAACCAGTTTTACGGTTTTTTGTAATCCTTTAGAATTCATTGAATACTGTAGCAGGCCCTTCTTCACCTGACGGACTTTCTAGTTAAAATTTTCACCAACATCAATGCTGCTTTTCTCAAGTGATGCAGTAAGTCCTTTTAGCTTATGTATCTATCGTTCAATTTCATTTTTTTTTTCTCCTTTTGTTTTTTTTATGCCCCCGCCATAATTATAATGTTACCCTGTCATTCCGTCATTCTGTCATCACTGACTTTCCGTTCATTTTCTCGGCAACAGTTGCACACATTCAACTCAAATTTGACATATGGGTAAGTCATAGGAACACGCAGGTCAAGTTCGAATTAATATCGTCATAGTTCGATGATTTTTGACAGATATATCCCTCTTGAACTTAAAAAAATAAGATATCTTCAGCTTCAGCTCTCTAACTTTTGAAGGGATATATATAAGGCTGAAATTGCATACATTGTGCAGGTATTTTACCAGAAAATACAGGTCAAGTTCCAATACAAATTTAAAACTAAATATGGCATTTCAAATATTGGCTGTCTACTGTGGCATTTGTGGCGTTGCGACACATCTAGTTCCTATATCATTTTGTCTTGTATTTTAAACTCTTGCATAAGTATTTAGTCCGATGGCTTCAGTAGTATTTGTTCCCGTGTGAGGCAAGACTGAGAAGCTCACACAAAGAACATTTACAAATGAGCCATTTAACAAAGCGACAAATTTTATTTGCCTTGTTCAAGAGTTAATTATTTTGATTTAAATGGCAAAATACGAGGTCTTATTAATAAGAATGTTTCATTTCAAACAATCTTACATAAAGATAAAGACTGAGTTATCAAACATAACTTTATTCTATTTTTGGACTCGAACAGGAAACAATAATTTATTTACAATATGCACCACGCCATTCCTCAACGGTATGTCTTCCTCGGCAATCTTAACTCCATTTACGTAAACACCTTAAATGTTAATGAAAAATAATAGTTTTTACAATCTTAATACATGTATACGACATAATCCATATAAAATTGTCACACATTTAAAGCCAACATTGGAATGCTTACAGGTATTCATATTATAATCTTTCAAGTGACTATTTCAGATTATGCATGCATCTAATAATAAATATAACATCTAGACAGTAATTTTCATTTTTAGATCTAAATTAATATTTGATCTGCTCCTGTATATTTACTTTGACATTCATGAAAGTGTCACAAGTTGCACAATTTATACATTACATGTACCTTGATTAACTTTGATATTGATCTGTGATCCAACACTGTTTTTAATGAATCCCCCATCAAGAATTCGCATGCCATTTGTGTACACTGTATTATTCACTGTGTGATTCCTAAAAAGTGCTTATGAACGAAAGTTGAAAGCAGTATTAACAACTATATAAAATTGTGCATCGCCAATAAAATTAAAGATCTTTGTTGTTCTCTCTCTCTCTCTCTCTCTCTCTCTCTCTCTCTCTCTCTCTCTCTCTCTCTCTATATATATATATATATATATATATGTATATATAAATATATATATAAGGAGACATAAAGTCGGTTAATGTGTTCTGTTGGCATTTTTAAAAAAAATATGTAAATGCTCAGGCAGTTCCTGTATCCAATGTAATATTAAAGACGTTTCTGAAATTAATTGTTTATTCTTTAATACGACAAAAAATTTAATAACACCGCAAAATGGAATACACTGATATTATTATATTTTGCGTTATTACATTTTGAGTTAAGGCCAACACAGAACGCATTAACGCAAAACGTAAAAAATGTTAATTTCTCAGTTCATTACATTTTGCATTATTATTGCATTTTGCGTTGTAACAGCTCTTTTTCGTTTTGTCTAAAGGTACACTACCACCAGACTTTTTCTATCAGAAAAATGTGAAACTTTATTTATGAACAGTTAACAGTTAACAGTGAGGGATTTTAACATAAATATGCCAAGTATTTCTTCAAATTTCAAATAGGCAATAAAATTACAACCAACTAAGGTTTTACCTTCTATAAATGTTACATTTGTGAGGATCTTTGTAAAGTTCAGTCCTGTTTCAACAAATGCTCTGTCTGAGGGAAGAAAAAGGGTCACGTTCTGTCCTTTAAAAAATAAAGAAATATATATGGCTAGCAATAGTGAAAATGTGACAAGGACAGACATGAAAATCATTAGTTCCCCAGACTTCCAGATAAAACTCTGACGGTCAAGATCAGTTTTCCTCCTCATTAAATTGATTTACGCCTAGGTCTCCTTAATAAACTGTGTAATTAAATATGTAAATGTGCAAAAAAAAAAAGTGTAACCGTGTAAGAAATATGTTTTATATGGAATAGTGCATGATTATTTTCAAAGAACGTGTAAAAATAAGTAAAATTCAAATCGATCAATGAATGGAATCTATAGAATTCTCTTCAAAAAAAAAAAATGACCTTAACGACGACGGACCTAATTCATTTCTGCAATAGATTTCTTATTCAAATTTTAATATGAGGTAAAGTGACTTTTGGTGAGTTAAAATCAGTAAAAAAAAAATCATATGGTCATCGATGTAGATTTTTAATGGGGAGCATTTCAAAAGTTGGCAATGGAAATCGGGTATAAGATTGATCATTGAAAAAAAAATTCTGCAATAGAATTTTTATTCATAATAAAGGACAATGTTAACACGACAATTTACCAGCAAATTATGCCAAAAAATAAATGGGTCATTGGCTTAGATTTTTAAGAGGGGCTTGTTAAACTCAGGTGTAGGGCATATTTTGGGGAAATTTTTCATTGAAAATACCTTGGCCAAATAAATCATTTATTATAAAATTAACAAATGAATATAAATCGAAATATTTAACAATATGTTTTTTAATTGAGAGGAAACGTTTGAATATCTTTAAAAGAATTTAAAATGTATATATTTTTTTATCTTTCGCAATACATAATTAAGTCAATTTGATTCAAGGCATATGCGCGGTTTTCTGCGCAGTGGCGTGAGATTTCGAATTAGGTCCGTCGTCCTTAAGAAGAATTAATCACATCAATTGTAAAGTAGTGACAAAGTAATTTGCAGACATATTTCAACCAAACGACACTCAGGGAGTTTTTTTACTGACCTGGAAATATAAAATGCCCGAAACCGTTTACCAGTGAACATTTTTCGTTTGGGAGTAACATCCATTACAAAGAGTGGGCCATTGACAAATAGAATAGTGTTCAAAATGGTTCTTGTAGACTTTGGACAATGAATAAGGGTAAGGTAACGAACAGTGATTGATCTCAAAAAATGTACAAGCAATAAAAATCTGTGGACAGGGCATAAAACATCGGACCCCGGAAATTCCAGAGGTGAGTTCTAGTGCCCAGGAGGAGTAAGCATCCCCTGTCGGTGAGTTACACCAGCCGTTAGCAATGCGTTTTGATCAGGTATAGACAGGCTATTTCGTAGTCAAATTGGTTTGAAACACGTCAGCCAAAATACGACCCAATCCTGGGTTATATTTGCTATCAAGTCATTATAAGGACCATAGAATTTTCGAAATGCTGACTTTAAACTGACGAGAAATAATTAATGATATATTTAAAGCTATAATACTGGTTTTTATTTCCATTGGAGGTATTCCTATAGATAACGATTTGTTTATTTTTTAAATTCCCTTTCTTATGTTTCGCTATCACCTGCATATGGTATTAACGTCTCGTCTCCGAACTTATTTGATACTCAGGAGCAAGCTCTGAATACGATCACCTCTTAAACAGAAACAGGCTACTGACAGACAGGTTGATGATACGGGGGTTACTACAAGCTCGTTTAAAGTCAGCATCTCGAAAAATTCTATGGTCGTTATATTGACCTTCTTTACAAATACAATCTATCGTTCATTCGTATTTTGTCTGCCAATGTGCCTTCCAATTGCTAAGTCATTGTTTTATAATAAGTTTAGCTGCGGGTTACTCTGTCTATCATGATCAGTACATTGGTCTCAAATAACAAAAATGACGTGTTTGACCGGTCGACAAGGGATGCTTACTCCTCCAAAACCCCCGCTTTTTTTAGGATCCATGTTTTATGCCCTGTTCACAAACTTGTATAGTTTTTAAGAATGTTGGGATAGATCACTGTTCGTTATCTTCGCTTTTTTAATATTATTTGCATTTTGTTTGTTTTGTTTTGTTTTGTTTTTGTTTTGTTTTGTTTTGTTTTGTTTTGTTTTTTGTTTTTTGTTTTGTTTTGTTTTGTTTTTTTTTGCATTTTTTTTTTGGCGATTAATTAATGTTAAGATCGTTTGGAAAACTTCATCATATGGGTATCAAGGAAATACAGTTACTTTTTGATAAATATTTATTTATTTATTCATCTATTTTTTTATAAATCCGTCTAAATATCGAGTGATGAAATTCTACAAAACGCACTGTCTAACTTATCCTGATAGCCACTGATCTTCAAGAGCATGGCTAGTTTTCTCATTCTACTATTTTCCTGGATGTAATCTGATCCCAGATCGATGGGGAGGTTATAGAGTACTTTGTCTATGACTTGGACGATGCCGTTTGTAGCTACTTGGTCTGCCTTGATCAAGGTGGCACCGGAAGCTGACATCAAAGATGGCTGTCAATATTTAAAAAAAGCATTGTTCTAAACCAATTAGTAAGGATAAGCTGTCATTCGAATGAATTTGTATTCCTCGTCAAGAGCCATTTCATGTCTCACTTCCTGGTTTGTTTACATAAGTAATATTCATAATACATCTATAAATAATCCATATCTATTGCTTATTAAGCATGTATACTAAAACTTGAAATTGATATTAATATCCATTCAGATAAGTGCAGCTTCATTTCATTCAAATGAAACTTGACTAAAGGAATTTAGCATTTGAAAAGTTACTACCTGGTGCATCTGTATATCTATATTATACTTAATATATCCATTTTACTTAGCTTGTGTTTTTCATGAGGGCGTGCATCTCTTTTGTTTGAAAAGCATTAACATAGCGTAAAAGTACTGTTGTGTCATTAGCTAAGTATTTTTGGGTATCTCAATAGTATGTATGCATTGCTTGCCTAATCATGCATTGCTTACCAACGAGCAATGGAACAACATTTGTAAAGCAATTTTCTACAGCGTTAAATCTAAAGCATTACAATTCAAACAAATCAGTTCTATTTGAGCTCCTTTTTTTAAGGTTGTAAATTTACCTATATATTTCAGTATTTATCTTTTCACATGAAGACTCCTTCTGCCAAAACATTTGTGTTTTCTCCTGATTATTAAATTAAAAAATGATCAGGAAGTCTGTAAAATAAATTCAATATTTGATGACTCCATGAAGAAAATTAGAATTGTCTTGTTCTATTTTGTTGACTGTTGTTTACTTTCATAGAAATTGGAGCATGTACATAATTTTGTATCATTTTTAAAAGTTTGTTGCTTTCTAAACAGATACATTGCTATTGACACTATAAAATTCAAGATTTCTCTATTCTTAAATAGCAAATACATTTCCCTTTGCTATACATTTACAATTTCCTTTGTGTTTCCGTTATAATTTATTCATTATGTAAGCCAGTTGAATCTACTCCAAGTTATTTTCACAGTTTTGTTCCAGTAAACTTTTCTCTAAATGTTATTCTTAAGGTTCATAAACTCTCTGCTCACTCCTATGAAAATGTGTTTACTCTTACAATTTTCCAAAACTAATGTATTTCAAAGGTAAAATAAAAACAATTATAGCATAGCTTGCGGACCAAATTTGAACAGAAAATGTCATTACCAGTTATCTCTCTTACTGAACCTTAAACTAACCTCCCCTGATTTATTATTGTAGATATTCAAACGTATTGAAGAACCCTCTTCCAAAGTTGGTATCAACCTGTTGTTGGTCCAGTTGGCAAAAGAAAGATTCCCTCGTGTAATATGATAGGAAGTGATGTCATGTAACAGTTGCCAGTTTCCGTCATTTTGGAGCTTCTTCACTACTGAAGGCGGAAGATTGCTGAAGGCGTCCTCGTTTGGCACATAGACCGTGAATGGACCTGGTTGACAAAATATCTTTGTAATTGTGTTTGTATTCTATAGATTAACTGAAGTAATAGAATTGTATTATTTCTTTCTTAAATCATATCCATCTCTTTGTGTTTATCTGTAGATATGGAATTTTATACAGTATAATCAGTCCAGCTTGCACTTCCTGTTTATTGTTTAGATATAAAATTCCATGTATACAGTTAAGTCCAATTACAAAACTGCTCAAGTAGTACATTTAAGTGCTGTTAATACAATACTTAATTACTTTTTCTAAGAAGTACAAACTTATTCCTATATCCTTTGTTATGTATATTACAAACAACTCTGGTCTAAAGAAAAAAATTCAGTTAAATTTTGATAAATGCTTAAAATAAATTCAAGTACTTATATAAAAGGTCGCTTACAATTTAAAGATTTCCAGATTAAGTAACGAGAGGGGGCAAAAATTGCATAATATGCAAGTCCATCCCATACGTAGACGGTTTACAAATTAATACAAAATTACACAAGATACAAATTACTGAGAGCGTTCAGACAGTTTGCTGCATGTTAGGTCGAATCGATTTTTATGCGTGTTTACATGAAAGCGACTAAATAACCCTTAGGTCTGTCATTGTCACCAATGTATGCGTGCCAAAGTCTCTTACACGTATGCACCAATTATAAATGCACTCGGACAAGAAATCATGATTTTTTATACCATCAGGAATAATCACAGAGATTCGACAAAAGTATTGTACCTTTAGCTTCGTCAATTCTATTCAACATGAAAAAATACATAGGACTTCGTGAACCTGTTGTTTTGTTAGGATTCCATTATCGTCACAGAAGGACGTCTGTAGAGAACAACATTAATAAGATATTTCTATTCGTGCGAGAAAAAAAATACGGGATGAAAATAGCAACAAACCAGACGAGTTATCCGACAGTTCGTACATGAATCCAGTGGCTTCCAATAATCCGTTAAAACTTTTTAGTCCAAGAACATCAAGCAAATCATAAATGTCCCATTGTGGTCCTTCAGCATAGCATACAGACGACAAATATGTCACAGCACAAAAAATAAAGGTTTTGGGTAACATTAATGAACAGATTTATAGACCAAGTTCAATTTGTGTAACAAGTATCAGTCGTCTGAAAGTAGAGCATGTCTGGGGATTATTCACAGATAAAATTCGTATATCTCATCTCATGAATTGTTACACATCGTAAACTAAGTATACAGGAATAGTATGTTAGTTACAAGGATTTTTTTTTATCATTTTGTAATTATTGACTATATATATATATATATATATATATATATATATATATATATATATATATATATATATATATATATATATATACTATGAAAATTATCGGGATCGGTATTTCACAATAGATCATGTAGACTGAATTCAAAAATAATGACCACCAAATTGAAATTTTGGAAAAAAGTTCAAATAACCATAACATATTTTTCACGTATATCATCATATTGTACATGTATTCTAGTTAAAATTCCAGAAGTGGGAATAGAAGAGACATTTGTATAAAATCAGAATTTTTATTAGTAAAACTTTACTTGACAAAAATATCACTTCATCCTTAAGACTTTCTAAATTACATAATTAAAAGAAAATATGGGATTTTTTTATGCTTCAAAATGGTGTCAGGGATATAAATGATTAGATCTTAACTTTGACTGCGTTTCTTCTCCTGTATATGTGAAAGAAATTGGCTTTTTAATTGTTATTTTACATTATTACATTAGATTTATAAAATCGTTGTTTTTGAGCAACAGTACATTTTTTCTGTTGCACTCCTGACATGGTATAGCATTTTTTTTCAACATCAGCCATGACCTTAACTTGGTCAAACAGAAAGATGCTACAGGCTACGTTTAAAGCTCAATACTTTGAATATTATCAGGAAAGCCTTCATTTTCAACATAAGCCATTATAATTTATTTCGCTGATCTTCAAAAAATATTGAATTTTCAAAATGTCATGATCACAAAAAGGTGTTGCACACCTAATATTTTGACCATCAATTTTGGGCATAAATTCTTTTGTGACTTGAGATATCAATGAAATATTTGGCAGATATTTAATCATTCATTTGAGGGTTGAGAAACCATACGTTCTTCGATTGTCAGATTCTATTGCAGTCATACTATCCATAAATTTTTTTTTTTCCCCTTGCAGGCAAATACAAGAGCTATCATACTAGCTAATAGTAAATAACTAGCCCACCACTCTTAGATTCATGTACATTTTTAATGAAGCTACAACACTGTACAAAGCGGGTGATACACATGCGTTCCTTGGAACACTCTAGTTATTACATTATATAGCTTATAATGTACATCTGCAGTTTGATTGTTGAAGGTATAAAAAATGCCCATGAAAGAAACTGTTCTAAATGTAAAAGTTTATGATAATGAACAGTGATTAATCTCATAAATGGGTGAATTAAAAAAATTACCAGACACATAATTATCAACCTAATTTCCTGCCCTAAAAACTCTTTGTGAATAAATTTCTATAGCTCAGCATGACTTGTGTCTTTTGATACTGGCTAAATGTCTGTCAAATATCTCATTGATATCTGAAGAATTAGGCCCAAGAATTATGCTACAAATGTCAGGAGTGCAACACCTTTTTGTGACATTTCGAAAATTCCTTATTTTTGAAGATTAAAGGTGCTTGGACACAGATTTGAAGTTAATATTTTCTCAAATTTTCTGTATAATTTCATGACTTATATGTTGCTATAGCATTTCATACTAAAATATAATAAAAAATTTTATTTCATCTCGAAGTTATTAAAACTTCGAATTTCCGGACGCGTTGGATTGCGCTTTCATATATTTTAATTTTATTCTAAATACTTAAGAAAAGTGGCAATTTTGCTGCGTATTAATGAAAAATATTAGAACTATAACACAGAAAATTCAGAGTAGAAATGTTCGAAAGCAAAATCCACTCGCAGTATTGTAAGTCCGTGCTCAGTGGTGTGTGCAGAGTTTAACAATTGAACACACCCGGTGAATCGTAAACATTGACAATAACAGAGCTCGTGCCCTGTTTACAAAAACAGTTTACGTTTCACGGGTGTGTTCAATTTGTTAAAGTCCGTACACATCACAGAGCACGGACCGACAATACTGGTGAGTTGGTTTTGCTTTCGAACATTTCTACTCTGAATTTTCTGGATTATAGATGTAATATTTTGCATTTATACATAACAAAATCGCTTCTTTTCTTAAAAATTAAGGATGAAGTTAAAATTTGTGTAAGTGCAAAGATGTGTTAATCAAACGCGTACCGGAATTCGTAGTTCCAATAATTTCCCGATAAAATAAGTTTTTAATTATATTTTCGTGTGAAATGCTATTGCAATATATAAGTTTTGATATTATACAGAAAATTTCAGAAAATATTAAGTTCAAATCTGTGTCTAAGCACCTTTAATGAAATAAATGATAATGGTTTATGTTGGAAATAAAGGCTTTCCTGATTAAATTCAATGTATTGAACTTTAAATTTAGGCTGTAGTAACTTTTGCTTGACCATGTTATGATCAACTATGATGTTGAAAAACATATTATACCATGTCCGGGGTGCAACAGATAAAATGTAATGATGCCAAAACATATTGAAAATTTGTATGACAATTAAGTAAAAAACGTAATTTTGAAAGTGTTTAACTATAACCGATAGACCATTTAAAGGCTTACAATGTTATCTGAATCATAAGCAGCATTAATGAGAGTCTAATATCTGTGGATACCCATTTATGTCAGGAGTGTAACATGTGATGTTTTGCTCTCCAACTTCGAAAAACTGTAATCAGTTTATAATGTTTTCCTTCTTTCTTGGAAAAAAAGACAAAAAGAACATTTTTATCAAATAAATCTATCATTTACAGAATCTGTAAAAATTAGGGATGGCAACGAATATTCGAACATTCGAATATTCATTCGATGAGTTGATATTCGAATATGAATTTAAGATTCGAATATTCGGTGTTTTTCAGATTTCATAAAAAGAAGTACTGTGATTAATAAATTTTGATTAGAACAGTGCTGGAATTATCCCTGTTTAATTTACTAGCGATCAATTTCGATCGCCTGATTTCTTTCACTACTTTCTTATCTTATAGATTTACTAAATTACATGTATATTGTTTTGAGTAAGGTGGTAAAGAATTGTACAAAAATACAAAACGCACTTTCACAGTTTTTATTAGTTAGATACGATTGGATCTACAATGGAGGACAAAAATGAAATCTAAGAATGTCTAAAAGGCGTAAAGAGTATACTTATCAAAATAAAATTAATTGATCATTGAATGAATGTCCGATAGAATTAGTCTGTAATTAATATTGTAAAGGGCTTAATTTCAGAATAAATGTGTAAATTACTTGATTATCTCGGGTTGTACATAATCCTGAATTTTATATTCTTTATCTTGAAATTAGTTAATAACCTAGGAAAATTGTCTATGGAAATATTTGTTTACATTATATCAAAGATTATAATCATATCTTTTATATATTAGGCAGATAATTGTAATTTATTACACGTATTGAAATCTGAACAGTATACCGTTACGACTATCTACAGTTCGATGACCCCTCTGGCGTCTCTTTTGCATTTGCAAAGCATTTCTCAGATATTTATAATGCCAAAGAAAATGCAAATTATCATTCAGAATTCCTCACTTCAATTGAAAACCGTTATAGTGAACTCGAACGCGTTTCCAGTTCATCAAATGATAGTTTCCCAGGAGGTCCTGCGACCGTCAACGAAATACAAAACATCATTCGAAATCTCAAACGCAGAAAAGCGCCTGGTCTCGATCTCATTCAAAACGAACATTTTATTCATGGTGGTATACAACTAGCTAGATGCATTACTCACCTTTTCAACGCAATTCTGGAAGTCGGGTATGTTCCATCCTGCTGGAAAAAAGACTTGATTGTGCCCATTTATAAAGGCAACAACAAACCTCGGAAATATCCCGATAGCTACAGACCAATTGCTCTCCTCCCTTGCGCGTTTAAAGTGTTTGAAAAGTTTATTCTCACTAGGATACAGTCAAACTTACTGCCCTCAATCTCATTTCCTTGTTCTCAACAACAAGGTTTCCAGCAAAAACTTGGATGTCTAACAGCGTCCTTTAATTTGCAAGAGACTATTTTTCACAACATTGAACACAATAGCCCTGTTTATGTTGCCTTTTTAGACACACAGAAAGCCTTTGACACTGTATGGAGGCACGGCCTCATGTGCAAACTTCACGAACTGGGAATATCAGGCACAGTGTGGTCTTTGATAAATGACTGTCACTCCAACACATACTTCTCCGTTGTAGTTAACCAGACCAGCTCCCAGTGGTTTCAAGTGTCACAAGGCGTCCGACAGGGAGGGGTGCTATCGACTTTCCTCTATCTCGTATTCATTGATGGTTTACTACTAGAAATTCAAAACCTTAGTTTAAACATCGGAGTCTTCAACGTTCAAAGTTCAAACCCAACCTTAGCAGATGACATCTGCGTCATTGCTCTCACTCCACGTGAGCTCCAAAACGTTCTGGACAACATATTCCAATACTCAACACGCTGGCGGTTTACTTTTAATGCTGCAAAATCCAAAGTTCTTTACTTCCATCAAAAAGGTCCCAATCCTGCTGACACTTTAAGCTGGCGTCTCGGTAAAGAACGTATTGAATTTTCCAACTCATACAATCATCTTGGAATTCTCTTAAGCTCCAATTTCGACCCTGGCGATAGAACATCTAATGCTTGCAGGAAAGGACGACAAGCATATTTCGCTCTTAAAACGTCCGAACAGCTCAACCCCATAACAGTGGCCAAAATGTATAAAAAAGTTGTCTTACCATCAGTTCTTTATGGAAGCGAATTATGGTGCGATCTTCGGACAAAGGACATTAGATCACTCAACGCATTCCAACATTTTGTCGTTAAACATGTTATGGGACTGCCCCATCATACTAGATCAGACATGTGCGAAAGCCTTCTAGGTCTCCTACCAATTACAGCAGAGATCGACATTAAAAAACTGCAATTCTTTGGCCGTCTCTGTGAACTCAACACA